AAACTTTTGGGTTATATAGTGTTTTCTTCTCCGTTTCTGACGTCACTCGGTCTGATGGTAAAGAGGGGGGTTCATGGTATTTGGCGATGTTCTGGGCAAATGGTCAGTTTAACATTACACCCAGGGGGGTTCCTAGCTGGCATCTGCAATCCTTATCAGTTAACTCCCTTTCCTGCCATAAACCCCTGCTTGTGACTTGGAAGTCTAAACCCCCTACAGAAAGGATTAAATTCAACCTCGTCTTCACATCTTTCTTCACCATGTTGTTTTTTGAAAAAGGATGTAGTGCAATTGAATTTCTGATATTAATCATGCTGGAAAAGCTGCATCAAATGTTTTACTTCTTTAAATAACCCTGCTTGTGTCCCTTGCAGAGATGGAATATCATTACACTGTTTCTAATGCACTGATGAGAAATTCAGGCACGTTTTTTTTTGTACAACTTATTAAACTTATTAAATAACTTATTTTTGACAAGACCTCTGTAAGCACTGACTTTGAAACACATCCATGCTGACAAAAGCCATTTTTTTGTTTACTTACAGTATGCACCCAAGGATGTAAGCAACAGCTTGATTATGACTTCAAAGGACTAAATGCTGTGACAAGGCTCATATTATAGATCAGTTTGTAGGTCAGATCAATTAAAGTAGCATTAATACATTCATATTTAGAGGGCTATGAAATACATTGGCGTGTAATTTATATTCACATACAGATGCAGCAATTCAAAATGCGCGGTAAAAACCCGCGGTATGGTAATCTACCCACAAGCCACCAAGGTAAGTGATTGGCTGGCCAAAATGAACGACAGGGGCTCTCGTGGTGCATTGGTTGGTAGTGAAAAGATTTAATCATTTAATGTCTTTACTGTGCACATTTTAATCCACTTAGTTTTGAATATTTATATGGAATTTTACCACAAAAGGGAAATTTTAGTAGCTGAGCATAAAAAGAAGAGGAGCATAATGCATCTGAAGGTCATAAACGATATTAATTTAGGAACATAAACATTACTGTATGAAC